AATATTTCATAAGACAGTAAGTTAAGACGGAAAACACTTTAGACAGAAAAGCTTGTTTAAGCTCAAGGTTAAATGTACAACTCTGAACAGGTGAGAAATATTTTAAAGACTTACGTTCGGAGGCTTCGCGATATATAATGGCGGACATGGAACAGTTCGACATCGCTATTTTCCATAAAAATTAAAGAAGAATAGTTGGTCGATGTGAATATGGAAGGTAATGAACCTTGAAATTTTCACAGCAAAATAAAAACTTCAGCTTCGTTTTCCTCCTGAGACGGGGAAGCCTCTCCAGGCAACCAAGAATGCAACCACGCTCGCCAGGAAAATAGCACAAAGCTGTTCCTTCACTCCCTTAGTCCTAATTGTCTCAGAGCTGTCGCTAAAAAGTGCTTACAGCGAATAAAGTTATCGAATCGAAGGCAAATCCTGAGCAATAATGGCGGCGAATCATGTTTCGGTTTCCTCGCGTTATTTTCGCGTTTTGCGCAGCTCGTTAGGGTTCTCAACTGATTGACAGATTTCTTTACTGGGGCGATCATAGAAACCAGAACAACAGCGTGATCAAAGGTAGCTGCCAGCCCTCCTGGCCAGGGCTTTAAACATAAACCATCATATCAAAAGTAATGAAATTAGACTAACGATTTCATGCTAAATACCTTCACATTGGTAACCATCCTTGTTCAATTCGAATCCTACTTGACATGAACATTTATAACTTCCTAGGGTATTTTCACAAATCTGGCTGCAGCGATGGAGAGGATCAGCTGGATCACATTCGTTGATGTCTTTGAAAATGAAAACAGAAAATTAGATGGTAGGTAATGATTTTAACACTGGTACGGTGTGCTCCATCTCAGCAGCTAATATTTCATAAACTTTCTGTATTGTTAACTCATTATATCAGATAAGTGAAGGTGGTGCTATAATATTCAATATTAGTATAAACCTATAAACCTTCTATCACGAATGTCGTTCTCTCATTTGTTACGCTACAGAGACACAAGGTAACTCGGAAATGGCCTCTTAGATTATTCGTTTTTCATTTCTATTCCTGATAACTGGCTCAGGCTGCTCCCTTGTCATCTATCTGCATGCAGTAGAAATCTCGAGCTCATACTCTGATATAATAAAGTAAAATTTATCAAAAGTCTACTGGGGATTCCGACCCGAAGGGATTAATTGAATCATCTTGTTCTCTGAGTATTTGGGATTTTACACACGAGAATATAGCAAATTTCTTCCGTAAATTATTATCGGAACCTACAAACCTCAGCTGTCGTGAGCCGTCGCACTCGATCTTGTATATGGCAAAGCCTTAACACTTCGTTATAAAAATCAAGCGGATCTATCTTCTGCATGCTGAATTAAGACACTCATTCAAAATTAAAAATCAGAAAAAATTTAAAAAAACATCAAGATTTGCTTAGGATTATGCCTTGGGCTTCTCCCATCTTGTGCATCTTAGTAATTTGTAGGAACGTTATACTACTGCTCTAAAAAACTATTACTCGATAAAACAAAGCTATCAAGTACCTCTGCAAGTCTTTCCATCATTCTCCAGCTTGTAATTAGCAAAACAGGCACACGTTGCTTTGTCATTGATTCCTTTGAAGCAGACATGTTGACAGCCATGTCCAGAAGTACAAGGGTCTGTGGCTGTAAAGAAAAGTTAATCAAGTAATCAAGCAAGAAACTGTGCTGCAAGTGAAGCACTAAGCTACTTAAAGAGGTTTGCGCATCTTGAGAAGTTTAGCCTAGATTTTTCAAGTTCGACGTAGGTGCAATCCGTGTTTAAATCTTTTCCATCCTTAACCATCCTTGTTCCTTTATAGTTTATAATGATCTCTTTGGTGTTATCTACCTATTCTAACTATTTTCAGGTTTCATTGAATTCAAAGGTAATTCTGTTCGCGGCCAAAATAACTCAAAATACCATGGCTGAGCTCCTTTAACAACTTCAATCTGTGATATTCATCTTAAAAATATTTTTTTTATTATACTACCACTTTCATTCATAGATACTACTTCAGAAAACGAGGAATATATTTGAACAGATATCAAACTCACCTGTACATTTTCTCCAGTCAGTGGGATCAGGTTTGAAGAACTTGTCACATGAACAGTTGTAGCTTCCTATACTGTTGTTACACTGCTGCATGCAATCATTTGAAGGTTGGCATTCATTAATATCTATGGATTAAAATGGTTAGTTAATTATTTCACACTAAGATTACAGAGGTTACTTATCCTTTACAAATTCTAAATTGAACAGTAAAAGGGTTTTTGACGAGAACATAAAGGTTTTTTCCTGGAGTCATCCTTCTTGTAGCAAGTCTGTATTGGAAGTACTCAGAAAGAGATTATCTTCCCTTTGTCCCACTTTTTCTTCAAACCTTAAATTTTATCCCTTGGTTTTAGACAACCCCGAAAGCCGGCATTCGCATTGGCTAAATTTTGACTACGAACGAAGGAAAACTGAAAAACACCACACCTTGTTATAAAAATGATCGGACGATCGATAAATTAAAGCCCCGGAAGAACGATTTTTTAATTTTTTTTTGGCACTTCATATAATGCCGCGGATAAAGAGCTTTACACGTAAACGGTTAAAAAGCTAACTGATGTATATTTTATTCAGCAAATGTCTTACCCTCACAGCTGCGACCATCAGCGTTTAGTTCGTATCCGCCGCGACAGTCACAGAAGAACAAAGCCGGAAAATTGACACAAAGCTGTTCACAGTTGTTTGACGAACTACTTTGACATTCATCAAAGTCTAGAAAATGGAGAGAAACGGAGAATATTTGTAAGCGAATAAATAACGGTAGTCACATCAAAATTGAGAAAGAGGATGTAAAAGCAAGACAGTGTAAGAGGTATGGAAAATTGTCGGTCATTTCACCTCGGCAGTAAAAAATTATGAACCTCTCCCATTCAAAACCGACTAAATTCCTTGCAAAAAATTTCGGACGTTTGATTTTCAGACAGGTCAGTTTACCTTCTTCGGAAAAATGTCGGACAATAATAAAACAAACTTCCTTCATCCTCAAGGTACCCTGCCAATCCTGTAAGCTTACCTACACACTGAGCGCCATTTCCAGTATATCCTNTTTCTCCAGTCAGTGGGATCAGGTTTGAAGAACTTGTCACATGAACAGTTGTAGCTTCCTATACTGTTGTTACACTGCTGCATGCAATCATTTGAAGGTTCGCATTCATTAATGTCTATCGATTAAAATGGTTAGTTAATTATTTCACAATAAGATTACAAAGGTTACTTATCCTTTAAAATTTTAAATTGAACAGCAAAAGAGTTTTTGACTAGAACATAAAGGTTTTTTCTTAGAGTCATCCTTCTCATAACAAGACTGTATTGGAAGTACTCAGAAAGAGATTATCTTCACTTTGTCCCGCTTTTTCTTCAAGCCTTAAATTTTCTCCCTTGGTTTAAGACCACCCCGAAAGCCGGCATTCGCATTGGCTAAATTTTGACTACGAACGAAGGAAAACTGAAAAACACCACACCTTGTTATAAAAATGATCGGACGATCGATAAATTAAAGCCCCGGAAGAACGATTTTTTAATTTTT